TAGATGGGTCTCCCACTCTGTGCTTAGTCAAGGCATATAAATTCATCTGGGAGGCACTTGTTAGAAGACTAGGACCCAATCTTGTTCCTATTGATGTCAATGGAAAAACTCACATTAACTATAGTGTTGCAGAACTCAACTCTATCTCTGAATACATTGGGCCTGATTCTTCACTCCCTGGCAATGAATGTAGTCTCAGAGTGAAGCTGGATCACATGCTAACCTCCCACGACCATCTGAAGAAGGTAGCTGCCAAGACGAAGACAAGGATCAACCTGGTCCAGAAACTGGCAAGCACAAGCTGGAGAGCATCAGCATCATGTTATGGACATCAGCGATGGCCCTTGTGTACTCTGTAGCCGAGTACTGTGCACCGGTATGGACCAGAAGTTGCCATACGCGACTTGTTGATGTCCAACTGAGCAGTGCAATTCAGTGCATCACTGGAACCCTCAAGTCAACCCCAACACCTTGGCTTCTGGTGCTGTTGCACATCACTTCCCCATCCATTTGCTGCGATGCTGCAACCCTTTGGGAATTTCAGAGGATTCTGGAAAATGAACATCTTCTCATCCACCAGGACCTTAATAATGTCCCTCACCACTGCTTGAAGTCACATAAGCCCTTTGGGATCCACAGGTTTAACTTTCTATAATGCAGCTTCAACCCTGATGAAAGCCAAATGGAGTTTACAAGAAGTTACAAATAAATATCTCGTAAAAGACCCGACACAGAGATCCCTGGCTTCAATCTCCCACGAAGCTCCTGGGCAACCCTAAACCACATCCGTACAAACTATGGCAGATGCAGATACTTGCTGCACAAATGGAAAATTAAAGACTCTCCAGTGTGTGACTGTGGTCACCCAGAACAGATCATGGAACATATAAGAACTCAATGCCTGATTCACAAATACAAAGGAGGCATCACAGCAATACATTCTGCTACTCCAGACGCAATTAACTGACTTAACCATCTGAATGTAAAACTATAGTTGTTGCTCTACATTTACATCAGCCATATGAAGAAGAGAATGTAGTCCAGGGATCGGCAACCTCTGGCACTTAGCTTGCCAGGGTAAGCCCCCTGGCGGGCCGGGCCGGTTTGTTTACCTGCCACGTCCGCAGGTTCGGCCGATCACAGCTCCCACTAGCCGCGGTTTGCTGCTCCAGGCCAATGGGGGCTGCAGGAAGCGGCGCGGGCTGAGGGATGTGCTGGCCGCCGCTTCCCACTGCTCCCATTGGCCTGGAGCGGTGAACTGTGGCCAGTGGGAGCTGTGATTGGCCGAACCTGCGGACACAGTAGGTAAACAAACCGGCCCGGCCCGCCAGGGGGCTTACCCTGGTGAGCTGCGTGCCAAAGGTTGCCGATTCCTGATGTTGTCATTTCTACCTGTGCACAGTAACAAATCAGCATCTTGCACCCACTTTGCACAGGTGGTGGGTAGTGGATAATCAGCCCTCTGTGTCTGGAAGCAAGTTTTTCTCATTCCAGGAGCCCTATCTTTGGAATTCACTCCCTATGCAGCTCTTAGGGCACAAGACAAGATACATCTGTTTTGTTTAGTATTTGAATAAGTGTTTCTGTTTTGATCCTGTTTTAATTTTCTGAAATTTAAGTGCCTGGCTGCTACAGCAAGAAGCAGTCCAGAAAGAAGTATTTTTAAAAAATCCTTGAAGAAAGGTGTGGCTGTTTAAGAGTTACAAATTCTACCAATAGAACTTGTCTATATCCCTTGCCCTACTCAATTACCTAAATGTGAAAAGATTTAGTTGTCTCCACCTGAATGGCTGATCAGCATTTCTTGTCCTATCCTGGCTTTTCTTAGAGCTTTCAACAAAAGACCCTGGAGTCATGTCATAAATAATACTTTTGATATTTTTGGGTAATATGACAAAAAGGCTTCTGGGACTCCAACTGCATTTAATAAACTAAGTGATAAAGTTAACAAGTAAGGCCCCATTCCTGCAAGCTTATCCTTGCGTTTTTGATACCCCTCTTTCTCCATTTTTTTAGCTGTGGGTATATTAATGCCACTCTCCAAATCAGATGAACTTTCACAGTTCACCACCTAGAGTCTTCATGCTGGAGTATTTCAACAGCCATTCCAAACATTCCTAGAACTTTTCTTTTCTTTCTCACCAACCCTGTGCTCATTGACAAATCATTGACCCAACTCCCATTGACCTATGTTAACCAACTCTTCTGGGCCTGGACTATTTAAATTCTTGTTACCTCCTGCAATAGCGCTACATTTCTCATCTCCCCTTAGCAAAAGCAGATTGCTAACCCTCCAGCTTCCTTCTTCTTTTCACTCTCTCACACTACAGAATTAAATATTTTCCAAGAGTTGGTAACATCATTCCATACATTTCAAATAAATCTCAGGTACTATTAGATCACAAATAATTTTTGAAGTATTTGTTCACTATCTAAGCTTCCAACTACAGCAGAAATCTGCTAACCAAATAAGTTTAACCTCTTTGAGCAGAAAATGTATTCCTTTTAGCAGGTATTCAGAAAGAATAGCTTGCTTGTTTTAGGAGCTACTTTTGGTTTAAAGACAAGATATTCATCTTAAAATTAACATGTTCCTTTAACAGATCAGTTTCCTCTTACATATACTTCTTGAAAGTGGAGGAATTTTATTCCTTTGAAAGATTTACTGCATTATCAGGTATTTGTTTTAAAAGGTCTCACGTGTCAGCTGTAAGACACACTACTTTATATTTGATTTCACTTTCATTTGTTTTGGTCTTTTTGTTCTTTGTGTCATCTGTTAACACTGTTTTGATAAAAAAAAACAATATAAAAATAAAAATAAAAAGATACATAAAAAGGGTTTCTTTGCCAGTCTGTGATTTTGTTTGCTGCATGGTAAATTCAGTAATTTAACAGATCTCTTATTTCGGATGTTATATTTCAAGCTGGTTTAACTGTAATAATAATCTTAGGTTTATACAGTCTGTGCTGTGATGATAATCAGAGTCTTTTCCCATTTTCTTCCAGGTCTTGGGTGTTCATGCCAGGTATAGCAGCAGTGTATTCTCCTAGAAGACAGCAACCTGCCTCAGTTAGTTATAATTAGAGACAGGCCTAGTCTAGAAAACCAGACTTCCCAAAATCTGGGGAAAGTTTACATCTAGATCTGAATGTTATGGCTTGGGCCCATCCCTCTAGTAATGGGCCCAAACCAGAACCCAAATCCAAGCAACCCTACTTCTGGGGAAAGTTGAGATTTTGATCTGAACTTTGTGATGTAGGCTGTTTTCTCTCTCTTTTGCAGAGTTGCTCTTACAGTTTTATCTGGTAGGGAATCTGTACTTTGGAGATTGTGGGCCACATCCTTGAATCCAGCTGTGCTGCACTTGGAGTAGAAACTGGTGGGGGAGGAATGTGACTCTAAAACACCCTTCTGCTCCTCTGATCCAGATGCTGGCTGGAGGATTATCTCATCTTAATTTAGAGCACCCTGAAGTATGCTGGCATTAACAGTCCCATACATACCTTCAGATGCCATGGATCACAAGAAGCTCAAGCCACATTGCCAGTCCCTCCTCAAAGCACACCTTTTATATTAGAGCAGGGACCACAAATGGATGGTTTAGAACCACCTGCGTTGACTTTGTGACACCTGGGGATTCCCTTTGGCCAGGAAAATTCCCAGTTAAAAAAGGTTTCTAGGAGATTTACACTGAGCATTGCAAATCAACCACAAATGGGGGTGGCAGGGGTATCAAAGATCTGGCCCTGTTCATTTCTCTAAGGTCTAGTCCTGCAGACACTTACTATTAGGCATAACAGTTTACTATTCTAAAGCCTGCTCTACACACAGTTTTTGTATTAGTATAACTATTTAAATTAGGGGCAGGGGGTGATCTTTTTTTCAAAATAGCTATACCAGTACAAATTATAGTGTGGATGAAATTATAAAGGTGCCATATTCCAGTAGAATTTATTCCCCTTTCCCATATGGGATCAGCTATAACAGTATAAAACACCTTCACTTTAATAGCTATACTGATGTAAAGCACCTGTATACTAACATAACTGTGTATACATTATGGGTGTGGGGGAAGAAGGGCTGTACTGCTTTAACTAAACTAAACTTTTGTGTGTACATAAGCCCTAAATTATCCCACTGATTATTCTTGGTGATGTTTGTCAGATCAGATCCTTAGACTGTAAACCCTTCAGGACAGGGATCATGTCTTCTTTTATACCTTGTACAGAGCTGAGCACCCTCTGGGCAACTAATATTAATAACTAAAATAAAGAAAATAATAATAGTTGTTTATAATACTACTATACTAATAATAGTAATAACAATAATGCATTAAATAATAATAGAGTGAAACGGGTCCTACACTACATTGCTACACCATTTTAGACCCCAATTAATTGGCTATGATTTTCATTCTCCTTGATCTTAGTTGTTGCATCTTCTGAGAGTTATGGAAAGGTGGGGTAACTAACTTTTTCCAAAGGTTCCTTCTTCAACTCCCCTCAAGGAATAGGTTAAAACCAGACATTTTAGAGATAAATCCCCATGCCACCACAGCAGAGTCCTGAGAGCTGGCCAGGAATGCGATTTATACTTGGGAGGGTGGAAGCCTCTCCACCTCACTGCCCTTCTGTGGGATTGGAAAGAGACTGCTGACTCGCTGTACATATCTACTGCTCTGGCTTTCTATATAAGCCTGGGCCAGGGGGGCAAGATGCTGAGAGACTCCTGCACAGGCAGACAGACCCCACAAGGAACAACAGAGGGAGGAGAAATGAATCCTCCCTAGAAGACAGCGAATGCTGGTATATTAACAGGAGGGGACAGCAGCAGCAACGTGCAGCTGTGTACGCGCTACACTCAGGAGGCCCAAGCCCCCTGTTCCGCCTCTCTTCTCCTCCAGGGGAACATTTCAAAAGCGCGATTTCGGTTTCCTGTGTTGCGTTGCGGGTTGGACTCGCTGGCTTGCCGTACTCCGAGCTAGAGCGTGGGGGTCTGCCTCTCTTGCCGCTGCTGCTGGCTGGTGCCGCCGCCTGTGGAACTTCCGCGCTCGCGGGATTCGAAACGCCACAATGGCTCAGAACGTTCAGAATGTGACTTTGTCTCTGACGCTGCCCATCACCTGCCACATTTGCCTGGGAAAGGTAATGGAGCTGCTGTTGCTGGGCAAAGCGAGCGGGGGTAGGGGAAGCCGGCTTGCACCTCCTCCCCCAAATGTGCTCGGGGGCTGGGGTGGGGGAGGCTCACCGCGGGGGGAGGTGCTGCTCTACGGAGCCTGGCAACAAGTGCAGCCATGATCAGGGATTGGGCATGTGTCTGGATTTAGCGTTGTCCCTTTAAACAGGCTGCAGCTCCTAAAGTGGCGCCGGAGAGAGACAGAGGGGAAAAGTTGGGGATGGGTGGTTATGCCAAGGCGGGGAGGGATGACCGACCCACGCTGTGTGGTGTTTGCCGAGCCGGGATCGTGACTAGTGGCGTTTTATTGCTAGCAATTTTTATTGCCACCTTTCGGATTATGGGAAACGTGCGCTGCGCTTGTTAAAAAAAATATTTCCAGCGCTGCGAGTTAACAGAGTGAGAGGGGAAATGGCCCTTCGGGTGAGTGGCCCCCCAGACACGGTTTATCCCTCCCCCTGAATGTGGCTAAAAAGGCTTTTTCTGTTGAGGTATTAGGACGCTTTAAAGTGGCGACTAATGTGTTCTTTGAGGCTGGGAACTGCATGTTAAAGAATGACTGCCTGGAACAAACATTTCAGGTGCTGGATGTGGAACAGAGTAGATCAAACAATGTGGAGCCAAATTCTAATCCATGCAGCTGAAAAATGTTCCATTTTCCTAATTGAAGTTCTCTTGGGCCAGAATCTCTTCCCTTGGCCCTCGAGATTGGGGAGGGCTACTGCTGAAAGTTGGCATATTTCTTCAAGAACTCATTTTCATGACTGGTTGCTTTCCAAATTCACTTTTCCACTTCCTCTCCTCTACCCCAAAATAAATAAAAGACTTCATGTAGAGAGACTAGCACTAGGGTAAGAAATGAATTAAAATAGTCTTTGTGCTCAGGACTCTGACACTATGGTTAGTGGGGTCCCCTTCTCTAAATGACAATGATTTTTTTGCAAGGTGTCAGGAGGAGGAGATGTCTGACACACAAAGTAGGTACAGCATAGGGCAGGCATAGTCCTGAGCCACATGCAGCTCTTTTACAGTTAAAATGTGGCTCATGGAGACCCCCTCCCCATTCTCCGCCTAGCAGCCAGGGGTGGGGGGAGCTTGGGACTTCTGCCCTGTGGCGAGACGTTGGACTAGGTGCTTCTGCCCTGCAGGGAAGGGAGTCTAAAGAGCCTTAGCCCCGTGTGTGTGTGGGGGACCTTGGTGCAGTTGCCCTGTGCCCTGGCAGGCACTGCCCCGTGGGACAGGTTGTGGCTCTTGAATGGCTGAAGATTATTGTGTACAGCTCAGAGAATCAGTAAGTTTGGACACTCCTGGCATAGGGGATGCCCAGACTCCAACTGCTCACACTTGTTAAGTGTCTCAATTCTGATCTGGAGAGAGAAGAGAGTAGTTCATTCAGTGTCCATGTTGGCTATTCATTTCTTACCTTTTCTGCTGAGACTCAACAAGGTCTTGTTGGTCTTATGGTCTTGCTTCTGATTCTATGGATACCTGCTTGCAATTAACTGGAGGAGACCATCAACAAATTTGTAGGCTGTGGTACGGAATGGCTTTTTTCCAAAATCTGCGCTTTGTTCTTTAGAACAGTGGTTCTCAAACTTTTTTTTCCGTGGACCACTTGAAAATTGCTGAGAGTCTCGGAGGACCACTTAATGATCTTTCCAAATGTTGTTTGTACCATAAGCTAACTATTGTAAAGCGCTTTGGATAAAAGTGCTATATTAGAAAAAAAATAATTAATTTTTTGTTCTACAAATAAAAGCACACAACTCATATTTTAATATCAGTAGTCTTACCTTTCTAATTCGATGGATGTGCCCTCTCTCCCGTGCCGCAGCAACAGCCCCCGAGCTGGGGCTGGGAAGGGGGGGGGTCTTTCCCTCTCTCCCCCGCTGCAGCAGCCCCCGAGCTGGGGCTGGGAAGGAGGGCAGGGGTCTCTCACCCGCCACAGAGCTGAGGCTGGGAAGGAGGGCTGTCTCAGGCAGCAGCTGCAGCCCTGGAGCTGGGGAAAGTCGCCTCTTTCTCTGGCCACCGCAGCCCTACATGTCCCAAATTCCCCCCACTCCCTCTTCTCACCCCACTGCCCCCTCCCACGTACCCTTTATTTCCCCTCCCCCCCCCAGACCACCACCTCACATGTGCGCCTTCTCCAGGGTCCAGGCACCTAATTAGTGGAGACACGCCTGTGCAGCTCCACTAATTAGGTGGGTGGCCCTTCATTCTCTCGTGTGCGGCTGCCCAGGCGCTCACCTTAGAGGGAACTATCCGCGGACCACCTGAATGGAGCTTGCAGACCACTGGTGGTCCACGGACCACAGTGTGAGAACTCGCTTTAGAATCTTTCCACAATACTTTAAGTTCAGTACATCTTACATCAAGATAAATGTGTTGACATTATAAATGGACCTGGTAGTAACTCCTGCGGTTGAGGATGTTCAGTTGTTTGTAACTTCATCAAACTTTAGCCATTCTGGGTGAAACTTTCCATACTAAATGTTTGCTCTTAGCTGAATTTTTTTGGAAAACTTTTTTCAACAAAAAACATTCAGAACCAAGAACAAGATTAAGGGGAAAATATGTTCTTTTGCTAATGTAGTACAAATTCTTACAGCTGTTTTTTGTTGAAAAGTTCTTGTGCCTGCATGCTTTTGAGCATGTGCTTGAAATTTGGCAGGGAGTGATCCTGGAGTCAGAGAGGTGCCTTTTGCTGTCCCATGAAAATTGTGCAGGGTTTGGATGGTATGTGATAAATAAGACATGGAGCCACACATTCAGTGGTGAAGGTAAAATGAAATATTGAATGAATAGCTACTCATTAACTGAACGCCATCCGTTCTGTGCACGGAGTGAGCAGAAGTCCTGTGGGGAATAAATAGTGTGTGACCAAGTAATTAAAGATTGAATCATAATATATATGCACGGGGGGTGGGGTAAGAAATGAATTAAAATTGTACGGGTGACTTTAATTCTGGAATTTCATAAGTTTTGAATACCTGACATTGCAACCTTAATATTGTTTTAACCCGAACTATACTATGTTATAGTATAGTTAAGTTTTATTTTAACTGTGAGCTCTCTGGGTCATAGGCTGTCTCTTTGTTCTGTGTTTGTACAGTGCCTCGTACAATGGGGTCTTCGGACTAGGGCTCTGAGGTGCTACAGTTATACTGTAATATTGATGGTTCTTGAATGTATTGCCAGCTGCCCTACTTTAGCTCTTGAAGACTTCATCCTGTTTTCTGAACCACCCTTCTTAAAGAATACTGTGCATTATTCCTTCAGTTTTATTTCTTCTGTATTGGCAAGGCATCCAGAACATTGTTTCCATTTTTATTATCTGAAGGGTTGACAGCTTGCTTGGGCTCAGTGCTGCACTCATTGAAGTCTATAATAAGTTTGCCCTAGACTTGTGAAGATATGACCAATGTCCTCAGTACATTTGCTACTCAGCTAATTTTTTTTATTAAAAAAAAAAAGTTCAAACACATTGCTGCTGTAAGAAAGCAGAGTGTTAAACAAACCTTAATTAAGCAACTGCTTAACTGATTAGCCATACATGTTTCTTAGGGTTCTTTTTAATTCTGATTGCTTAACTAAAGAAAAGAACTCAAGAGTTGCATTTAGCTTTGTAGTGTTTTGTTAAATATTCTTAACAGCAACTAATAATATAGGATATAAGAAAACAAAAAATTGTATTGGACTGTGACTAAGTCATCAAACGCTAGAAAATTGGTGGATATAACCATTCACATTTTCAAGATCAAATCACAATAGAAAATAACACTTGTACTCAGTCACTAACTTGAGAAGATGATTTTGTTTTTGACGGAGTTCTTCAGATTGGAGCCTCACTTGCGCCAATTGGTTATCAACTCTGGTGTTGCTAACACAAGAGGGGAATACTGGGGGGGGGACAATCCAAAGCTAAAGCACAAGGCAATTTGGTCAGTCGCTTTCATGCCATTTCACCAAGATCTCCTTCCCAATGGCTCTATAGTGGTCAGCCATTCTAACCTACTTTCCCACAAATTATATTAGCCCCAGAATCTCACTAATCCTCCTAACTGTCTAGCATATATTCCTACATTTATGACAGACTGTATAGACTGAGTGCAGTTCAAAAGGTTTGTACTCTTGGTCTATATTCATGTCTGTATGAAACGATTAACTAGGGTAGACTTGTACTGCAGTGTTCTGCAATCTCAGTTAACAAACTTGTTCAGTTTCAAAGCTACTCTAGGACAATCTTGATTGGAACCTGTTGCAAAACAAGGACACACACCGTAACTCTGTGAAAACCTTTAAAGTACATACACAAACATGTACACTTCCTACTAATTAGATATCCAGTTTCAGGAAGTGATCAATTGATTTGGGTCATAATCCAAGGGAAAATCTGTGGGCCGCTTATCACCAGATCTTTGCTTTCAGCAGCTTTCAGCTCAGTTATTGTTCACAGCGGAAGTTAATGCTGCAAATGCAGGTGAAGCCAAGGACAGACACAACTATAGTCTTTTCCTCGCATACTAGCGGGCAACCCAAATTGCTGGAAAATAGAAAGAGACAGTTAAAGATACATATCCAGCATAGTTACTTGATGTCACCAGAGGACTCCCAGGTGGCCAGCCCAGGATCTCAGTCATCTCCCTTCCAGGTGTCTTCAGCTTTCGGGCAGCAGTGTGCTGCAGGAGATGGCCATTTTCTCCCATTTCTGCTGGGTGTTTCAGCTTGGTTCCTCTTCTTGGAGATGCTGGTGTGGATCAATCAGATGTTGATCCAGGCCTCTGGACATTTTGAATCTTCGACAACCAAAATGAGAGGTATTCTCTCTCCCGGTATAGTTATCACCTTTTGAGTTCTTGCAGCTAAGACTAGACTTTCCCAGTCTCTTTGTGCAGCACATCTTCTCACACCAGCTTGTGTAAGACAAGTTAGGCCATAGCTGTTGCTACAACCATCTTGGGACATACTGTGAACACCAGCTAAATTGCTTCAGTCAGCAGCTTACCTCTGCAAATTGCTTTCTATGGGCCCCTCTGCCTGCTGTGCATCCTTTAGCCATCTTCACAGTTATGCTTGCTCAAGTTGCAGTTTCTACATCCGCGTTCTGCTAGCTGCTAAAATGTTCAGTTTAAAGTTCATCTAGTTATACAAAGAGCCTCTATATTCTTTGCTCTTTTAATTTGTTTTAGCAGTCCATTGCATAATGCAAAATCACTGCAAGAACTGTTGTTTTCCAGCATGGCAGAACAGCTGTATAACTTTTCCATTTCTGTTCTTGTTTTAACAACAATGATGGGGCCTCTTTTATATGAATGAGTTGACGCTGTGCATTATTAATCAGTTACATTTCTGATTATTCCACTCTGTGATCAAGTGTCCTTATAAACACAATTTTTGGTTTCAGTTCCTTTTATTTGCTCCCTCTTTCAGCACAGGTATATTTCACTGACTTGATAGTTTAAGCATGCTTGAGTGCAGATATTAGCCCTACTTGTTCACTTTGTCACTAAGCTTAGAAATCAGTATGATTGCAACCCCTTTTTCTCCCTAATAGGATTGCTCATGAGATAAACCCTGTCATTAAAGATTACAATATTTTGCCCAAACCTGTATCACTTATAGCCGACTTCCCTTTGTGTATAACTTCTTTTAATCAGAATATTAGAGTCCATCAAGTTCCCTATTTTTCAATACTGCATCTGGCAACATCATATATTTTAATGTTTCGTATTCATGTTTTGTTCATTCAAAGACGGGGGGGGGGGGGGGGGAATCTCCCCTCCCCTCTCCCCAACCCCGTTGTCTTACCAGTATGTTCTTGTGAAAAGCTGCAGCAACTCTAAGTTTCCTCAGGCTATCTGACGAAATCATGCCTGTTAGACCTGGAGTTTTTTGTCTGATCCCTCTGTCCTGTCTCTTCTAAACAGCCTTGTTGCCTGCAAAATTCATAATGGTGACTCAGACTTTGGGGGCTTAATTGCTACACTGGTTTCAAAGTGACATGAATGTATGTGCACAGGATTAGAAACTTCCAGTTAGCTGTGCAAAAAGCCTGTCTAATAAGGTAATTAACAGACATTTTGCATGAAAGAATAGTAGGATCACCCATCTCTCTCAATCCTACCCAGATAAGCTATATTTAAAAAAAAAAAAAAAAAAAAAATCATTGAACAGATTGAGGAACTGGACCTCTGCCCAACGAGGTTTAAGCCACAAGTTGTATTTGAATTATACATTTTAGCAATGCCTAATAGTGTTATACAAAAAATGTTTTTGGATAACAGATCTTGATATTGTAATAGAGCTTTTATTGTTGCGCATATGACTTTGTTTAGATATCAAAGTACTTCTAAAAAAACGCTGAAATGAAAGCAGTGTTAAATCAGGAGCACAATGCCCTAGACGGTACTAAAATGTAACTTGATGTTTTGCTTAAGATATTGTGATGTGAATGTTCACTCTTTCTAAGTGTGCTCCCACTTCAGGTTTTTGGTATCTTGAGGTCTTGAAATGAATCTTGCTATTTAGCTCTGTGTGTGTGTATGTATAATATATATATATTTTTTATTATTGTGCTCTACTGTTTTTAGTTTTCAGTCTTTGGTAGCTGTGCAACTGTTCTAAGGCTGCTTCTGAGGAGAAGGAATAGGGGTGTATTAACAGGAGTGTTGTATCTAAGACACAGGAGGTAATTGTCCCACTCTACTTCGCACTGGTGGGGCTTCAGCTGGAGTACTGTGTCCAGTTCTGGGCAACACACTTTAGGAGAGATGTGGATAAATTAGAGAGAGTTCAGAGGAGAGCAACAAAAAATGGTTTAGATTAGAACATCTGACCTATGAGGAAAGTTTAAAAAAAAACAAAAAAAAAAACTGGGCATATTTAATCTTGAGAAAAGAAGATTGAGGGGGGAACCTGTTAAATCTTCAAATATGTTAAGAGCTGTTATAAAGAAGACTGATCAATTGTTCTCCTTGACCACTGGAGATAGGACAAGAAGTAATGGGCTTAATATGCAGGAAAGAAAATTTTAGGTTAGATATTAGGAAAAACTTTCTAACTGTAAGGGTAGTTAAGATCTGGAATAGGCTTCCAGGTTGGGGAATCCCCATTATAGGAGGTTTTTAAGAACAGGTTGGACAAACACCTGTCAGTGTTGGTCTAGGCTTATTTGGTCCTGCCTCAGTGCAGGGCGCTGGAAATGTTGTCCTCTTGCAGTCCTTGCCAGTCCTATGTTCTATAATTCTATGAAAGTTTAAAAAAAAAAAAAAAAAAAGCTACTCTTCTGGCTGATGTGTGGGGAAAATAAGGTAAGACTGTTCGTAAAGAGATGTACTAAGCAACCAGAGTACTTTAAGATTAAGATTCATGATTTTAGAACTTTTATTGTAACCAGGGAGTCATAGGGCTGGTTTAAATACAATCTGGAACCAAAATAACTAAATTAGTTTTAAGACACAAGGTGGGTTAGGCAATATCTTTTATTGGACCAACTTCTTTTGGTGAAAGAGGCAGGCTCTCAAGCTTCACAGAGCTCTTCTTCAGGCCTGGACTAATAAATTGGTCCAATGAAAAATATTACCTCACCCATCTTGTCTCTCTAATATCCTGGGACCGACAACACTGTAAACAGTGGAATAAATCAGTTTAACACTTCTTTGGTGCACGTTTGTGTATGGATACTTCAATCACATAATTCAACTTGAAATAATTTATTCTCATTATTCAATTAAATTAGGTTAAATGTCAAAAGACCCTCTTAATCTGAAATCGGTGTCTACATTTTAAAGGTGTGAATTAAAATAATTTGATTATTTGGATTCCACTTTGTTCATAGTTTTTCAAGAGTGTCATTTTGGAAGTTCTTAAAACAATGTTAATCCTGTAATACAACAGGGACATGAGAGGTGAATTAGTGGATGGACTGACAGTAGTGGGGCTTGATTCTATTCCATCTGAGTCCATTGTTTTCAATTTGTGTAGGATTGAGTTTATAGGTATGATTACTACAAATGTACTACTACATCCAATATGGCTTTCAAATAAATTACTGGCTATCCTCTTTATTTTCTCTTTCTTTCCTGTTCTCCCCTCTCCCCCATTTCCATCTGTTATGGCTTCCTTCTTAATGCAGCCAAGGAAAAATCTTGAAAATGAACAGTTTTATTTAAAAAGGTATCATATTTCTGAAGTTCTTGTTTTGTTTGAACTTTGGTTTTAATTATTTCCTACCTGAGGCATTTTAGTACCTAAAGCAATATCTAGTGTTATTTGTCTATTTCCAAAGTAGATATTTTGGATGGAGATAGAGGGTGATTTTATTTTGTTTTTTTGTGTTTGTACTGTTACGTGAGTTGAAAGTCTTCTTAGAAACATAGGAATCAGAGCTGGGTTTAAGAGATTTGAGAGCATGAATTAATTTTCTGAAACATAGCCTCACTTTCTGTAACAGGTAAATATCGTAGTGAAGTGCAGAATCTTCCTTGCATAGTTGGTTTTGAATCCTGATGCCTGTTTGTTTCCAAACAGAATTTAAATTAATGAGAGAGTGTGAAATGTTTTTAGTAATATTTTCGAAACACTTATTACTGTAAACCTGGTACTTTGTTTTCCCTTCCAAAGCAACAAACATCTTGTTGAACTCGATACATTTGTGATCCAAGAATTTAAGTGAAAATTTTTACATAAATGTTCATGTTGCATAAGCTTTCAGTTAGCCACTCTGTGCTGTTTTGCAGTGTATTGGTATCACACCTTTAGAAAGAGAAATGGGTTAGTGATCTCTGGACCTACTAGTTGAAATCCCAGATGGGTAGATTTAACTCCTCATCCTTCCAAAGTCTATTTCCAGACAGTGCAGGTGAGACCTTAATCCTAGATACTCCAGTGGCAGTTCTTGCAAGAACACGGGTTTGACTTGTGCCAAAAACCTTTCCTATACCCTCTGTTTGTGAATCCGTTGTTGCCTGTCTCTAGGTGATCCTTGACCTAGCCGTGGCTGCATTTCAGTGGGACTATCTGTATATTAGTTTATGAAGTTCTTTGGGAGTCACTTTGAATGAAAGATACTATACAATGTACATGAAATATGCCCTTTGATCCATTTTTACTGCTAAATCCAAATATCTCCTGAATGACAGTAGTAATGTATAATAGACTAAAACCAAATAAACTTAAAATAGCTTTAAAACATTTTACAATTCTCTTTTTTTTGAAAAAGGTCCGCCATCCGGTCATCTGTGTCAACAACCACGTGTTCTGCTCCATTTGTATTGATGTATGGTTGAAGAACAATAGTCAGTGTCCGGCTTGTAGGATCCCTATCACCCCTGACAATCCCTGCAAGGAGATTATAGGTAAGGGCCTGTTAGCCACTGAAATAATGTTCCAATATTTGCTCACAGATGAGACTCTTCCTTGGTGAAAATGTGTCCTAATGTTTTCCATACTGTTTCTTATGCACGTTTGGAATAATCATTTATAGATATGGGCCAACACGTTTTAAAACACAATGACTAAACGGGTGATCTGACTTTTCAATGTGCTTCAGTGGGCTTCATTAACTGTCAGTCTTTGAAAGTGTTGGCCAGAGAGCATAATTGTTGGAAGTGGACAGAACCATTGTATATCCTGCCTATGTATTGCGACCCGCTAACCCAAGGAGAGAGCACCTAGCAGGAATGCCAACTAGTTCCATACAGAGGCTGACTAGATACTTTTTTTTTCTGAAAAATTATCCTGAAGTTGAGTCTGAGTTGCAAAATTTGAATGAGGGACCTGCACTTCCCAGAGTTTGGAAACGTTCTCATCTGGGTTTTTTGTTGAGACCCTTCTCTACATGTTTAAATATTTAACAAGCGTACTTAATAAATTAAAGTAGGCTTGATTACTAACCCTCTCTCAAAATGAGCCATCTTTCTAGGTAATTGTAGGTTTGATTTCCCCTTCCCCAGTGGAATCTAGCAGTACAGTTTTCTTTAAAACAAAAATAGGAATCTAAAGTCACATGGAGAAAAATGATGTATTTTACTAACTTTGGATTTGGACTGAAAAACAAACCCAGTAATAATGCTGTTTATCTTACATTGCTGTAGGAGGAACAAGTGAAAGTGAGCCTATATTTAGTCCTACAGTCAGAAAACATCTTCGTAAAACCAGACTTGAACTGCTCCACAAAGAATATGAGGTAACAGCAAAGATAACTTCCAGATGAACAGCTTTTAACCTTATCTGGTTATGTACAACTCTTCTCTTTAATTTCTACACTTTCTTTTTAAGAAAAGTTTCATTTTGAACACACACTAAAACTCAAATTTATCTCCTAATCTTATTTTGAGTTTGTGTGGATTTAAGATTAGGACATAATTTGAATTTGTGTGGATTCATCTCCTAATCGAGACTTCAAGGTGGGAGTTTCAGAAGAACTTGGCATTGGGGCTTACCCTGCTCCCACTGAAGTCAAGGCGCTTTATTATTAACTTAGTGAGAGCAGAGTTTAGGCCAAGTACTTAAAAAAATCCTGCCCGTAGACTTTAGTCCCTTGCGCACGCACACACCTACCTACCTACCTACCTTCATGTGACTTACAGTATTTTTAATGCATTATGGTTAACTTGTCTCTTCCTGCTGCTGCACCCAAACAAGCATGTCTGCGCCCAGAGGCGTAAGGAAGTGGGCTTCTTCTAAAGAAATCCCTCTGGACTATGAAAGAAAATCATTTCTTGGAGAGACACTGTCAACTTGCATTTTTTGACATGGAATTTTTTTTTTTTTTTTTTTAATGTACAGAGTTTTTCTAAAATGACAAAACACTCAGCAGATCTTTCTGCTCCCCTGCTGCATAAAAGACCTCCTGTGAACAGGGGAGAGTTGGCGGGTATGCCTGGGTCCATGCTTTCTCTGCCCTCCTCTGTTCATATGGTTGCCTGCTGCCTTCTCTTCAGATTTTGTGAGCCTGGTAGGAGCGGTGTAGAGATAAATGCTCCAAGTTCTAAACTCTTCCCTGAGACCTGTGGTGTTGTCCTAGTGAGGGAATAAGAGGAGGCAGAAACAGATGTGCTTCAGCTGCTCCCAAGGTCTTCGGAAGAGCCCTGCCAGTGGAACTCTGAGCAGTGGAGCCCTGCAACCTGATGGCACTCGACTACAAGCATTGGGTCCGGGTCAGGTGGGAAATCAGCTGGACCCTCTTGGGTCCGGTCAGCTCTACTTCTCCTGCCACTGGGGTCAGCGCAGGGGTGGCTGCATGCTGAGGAGCTGCAGTGCATCTCGCTCCCCAGCACAAATAGCACAGCAGGGACTGGCAGCCAGTAGGAGCAGGGTATGCAGCTGTTGCTGTGCTGACCCCAGGCAGGAAGCAGTGACAGCTACTCAGGTTTGGGGGGGAAGAGTCAGAGGCAAGTTTGGTCAGAATATGACGTAACCTTCTCGGGTCGGGTGGGCTTGGGCCTGGGTCGGGCCTAAAAGTTAGGCCCGAGGAGACCTCTAGCCAAGAGATCCCTAATATGCCTGTCACATCACCCCCAAATGTCACTACACTTGAGAATTGAAGGGAATAAATCTCCAAAACTCAATTAATAGTTTCTCTCTGTAAAACGTGGAGGATCCAATGCAGAAGATCAAGTGACTTTTTTTTTTTCATTTCTGAATCAATGCAAGACCTAGGTTTTTATAAGTGTGTATTCTCCTGTAGTCTTACTTTCCACAGCAGTTTTGACCACACACATGCTTTCATGGCTTTAGTATAGAGAGCACATGAACAGCTATTGCCAAGGTATCAGGCACAAATAGGCTTTCCCATAACCCTCTTCCTTCCCCCACCTCTCCAAGTGTTTGTTTTTGGCAGCTTATGGAAGTCTACATTTTTTCCCCCCTACATTCTTGTCTCCAAACATGCAGCTCAAGACCTTTTTCTATACCTTGGTCTTTCGTAAGATCTCTTCCCCATTTCTCATTCTTTAACAGCAGCAAATGAGGTAGCAGACTGTCCATGTGAGCACACTGTGTAGAGGCTGGCCTCTCAAAATGTGCACTCCAATGGATAACGCTTCACTGTGTAAAGTGTCCAGTCCACATATAGTCTTATGCGCTTGTTATATATAGGTATATAGTCAGAGGGAATTCCTCTGCCCATCGCTGAAATCCTAAGCTACACTCCAGAATGCAGTCTTCCAAAACCTGCCCGGAGGTCAATCCATTTGTGCACTTTGAAAAGTTCTGTAATAAATTCCTTGCAGGCAGGGCACCCATCCTAGTGTCCAGAGGATCTCTACACATAAAGCATTTAGAGAATTAAGTCCCGAGGTAATTGCTGTTAATTTTTGTATCTTTTTCTGGTTTGTTGCATTCTTGTGCTTCCTGGGTTTGTAACACTTTCAGGATGAAATAGAATCCTTGCAGAAAGAAGTGGAAGAGCTAAGAGGTAAAAACCTTAGCTTGGAAGCGCAGCTCAAAACGGTTCTGGATCCTGGGGCCTTGGGTCTGTGTAACACACATGAAGAAAGTCATCGATCTATAGATGAGGCGAGCCGAGCTGGCCCAGAAACTGTAGAAGAATGGACCAAGAAACTTAAAGCTGCTAATGATCTATATGAGAAAGTGAAAGATGATGTGGAAAAGTTAAAGGAGGTAACAAATGTCTGCTTCTCTAATCACATAGCAGTGTAATTGTTTCATGTTATTCAAATGGGGTGAGGGTCAGTTTGATCTTTTGAGTACTTCATAGCTCCAAAAGGAAGAGAGAAAATAGTGACTGTTGATGCTTTTGCTTGTTCTAGTCAATCTTGCATGTGACTTTCAACTTGTCTGTCATCCCATGGCTCAGTAATTGGATTATACTAGCGCTTGTTTTCAGTATTGAGGACCAGAGTCTTCAGCTTCAAACAAATTATAGAATATATCTATTTTGCCAAAAACAGCCCAATTGCCTTAAACAGATTTTGCATTATTGCCCTCCTTGCTAGCTAATATTTTCGATGCAGTTTGCTGAAACAGAGTAACTTGACCCTTTGACGTAAAGACCTGAAAAGAGTTCTGTGTAGTTTGAATGCTCGTCTCATTCACCGACAACTTTTATTGGCCCAACTTCTATGACTTCATCCACATTGGCCCTTTGACCTAAACTAGACAAGCATTAGCCCGTTTAGGACCAAAAGATCCTATACTGGAGACTTGTAAATTTACTCTGCACTCCCTGCAGTATTTGGGACCTATTTTGTTGATGCTTTTTAGGTTTCTTGACTACAGCATAAAGCAAAACTTGTGATTTGGAGGGGGAGAGAGACTAAAAACCAGATGAAAACAAACTTAAATATTGAAATCTTCTAAAACACACTCTCAAGGGCAAGGAGAATTGCCTAAAACAGTTTGAATAAGAATGAAATTTCAAAGTTAACTTGAAGGACAAATTGAGGAAACTTAACTTGTATTTATTAAAGATGCTACCTTTTATTTCTTCTGTTTTTAATCTTGGATTGCCTCCTGGAAACTGAAGCTTTAGCATATTTAGGACATATCATTTTTTACAATATTAATACTAAGGATTTATACCTTCTAAATGCTACTAAGACTCCGAGGGCCAAATTCTACTGTTACACCAGTATAAATCCAGGATAGTTCCATTGCAGTTGATGGAGTTGTTCTGGATTTGCATCAGTGTAATTGAAAGCATATTTAATCCGAGACACATTCTGCTTTCAGTTACACTGTTGCAAATTTAGAACAACTCCATTAACGGCAATGGAACTGTCCTGGATTTATACTGGTGTAACAGCAGAATTTGGCTCTCGGAGTCTTTGCAGTATTTAGAAGGTATAATTGCTTAGTCTTAACATTGAAAGCAAACAGACAAAAAAGTAGCAGATTATTCAGAGTCTGGTGCATAACAAAAGGAACAGGGAAGAAGAAGGGCTTTGATCACAGAACTTTTTTTTTTAATTTAATTTTATTTATTTGTTTGTTTATTTTTGAGGCTTTAAGTCACAATTTTAGCATTATATAAACTGTGTAAATACCTCCATTTAAGGCAGAGGTTCCCAAACTTGGTTTGTTCAGGATAAGCCCCTGGCAGGCCGTGAGACGCTTTGTTTACCTGAGCGTGTGCAGGTATAGCTGCTTGCAGATCCCAGTGGCCGCGGTTCGCTGTTCCTGGCCAATGGGAGCTGCGGGAAGCGTTGGTCTGGCCCACGCCACTTCCTGCAGCTCCCATTGGCCGGGGACAGCAAACCACAGCCAGTGGGAGCTGCAAGCGGCCATACCAGCGGACACTCAGGTAAACAAAGTGTCTCGCGGCCCGCCAGGGCCTTACCCTGAACAAGCCGCGAACCAAGTTTGGGAACCCTGATTTAAGGTTATGAATCATAAGTCTGCTGGGTCCTCAGCGTTCTTTCCAATTTATCAAGATTGAGCAGTTTTCAAAGTGCAAGGAGTTTCTTCTCCCTGTTTTTAGGCCTTTGCATTAGTTGGAGACTTGGAGAGAGAAAAAAAAAAAAAAAAAAAGTAGTTGCTCTAAAAACATTGCAGCAGGAAAACTTCTCTTGACATGAAGTATCTTGTTAACAAGACCGTCCACTGAACTGAGAAGAAGAAATTGACCTCAATTCAAAGAGTGAGCGAGGCAGTAAATCAAGAGTCTTAAACTTAACATCATGGCAGCTATGCTGAAGGAAGACGGCAAGTAGTTTGTCATAAAGGATTTACGTCCATAGGATAACTAAGCTTTTATTTTTTTAGAATCAGAGTAATCTTACTCTAGTTTGGAGGGGAGAAAAGCTGTTCAACATTAGTTTTGCTGATACCTGCACATTGTAATGTTAATGTACTTAAAGTATTTAGTCATGTGAAAAAAAACATGGAATTGCCATTAGTACATCCCCTTAATGACTCTCTCTACTAACGAACATAGCTCTGTTTATTTCCCTAGATAGGAGCCTTGCAGTGTATTTTGGGGATATAAATAAAAAATGTCTGTTCTCTATTCAGTTTTGCGAACCATTTCCCAGGGTAATTTTTAAGTGGTGTCCCTGTCTGAGGGCTGTTTCCTAGCTGCAGTTTCCTAATGCTGTCTCTTTAAAAAGCGCAAACAGCTTGTCTTATAAATATTATAAGCCAGTTCTGTTTTACTCTATACTTTAATTATTTTTTACCTTTTTTTTTTTTTTTTTTTTTTTTTTTTTTTTTTTTTTTTTTTTTTTTGTTATG